TCTCTCTCTCTCTCTCTCTCTCTCTCTCTCTCTCTCTCTCTCTCTCTCTGTCTCTCTCCACGGGGTTCCCCGTAACACTGTAACCATAGTATCATCAACATAGAAAAAAGAAAAAAAAATCCATGTACACCACGGCGCACCATGCGCGAAACGGGAGTGCCGCGCAGCGCACAGCACAGGTGCGCACGGCGCACCGCGCAGGGCACCGCATCGCACACCGCACTGATGCGCCGCAAGTATGGTTTCTGCCTTTATGGCTGTTTAGGCCTTTGCTCCACCGGTCTCAAAATGAAGCGGACAAGAAAAGGGCGGGTGTATCTGTCCACCTTCTAGGTGAAGATGCACTCGCCGTTCTTCACATTTAAGAGAGAGTAGCGAGGCCCTTGGTGTGTACCCACTGCTCGTTTTTTTATGATGCTACCACTTCTATAGAAGCGGCCCGAAAACACGCAACTGACCTCAAAAACTCAGAAAAAAAAATGAAAAAAGGGAGATGATTCTGCCAGTTCTTTCCCCCCTCCTCACAAATGCCTTCATGCTCGTTCAATTTTTTTTTATTTTTTTTTTAATTCAGTGTTTCTGTTTTCTTTTCGCTTCTCTTTTTCCCAGTCATGCAACTTGCAAACACACATGCACACACACACCACGCTTCTTTTCTTTCCCTGGCACACACCACGCTTTCTTTTGCTGCTTCAGCATCTGCAAGGAAAATGAGCAGTAGCAAAATGACAGATTTCAGATTGCAAAATCACATTGTAACCCATGAAGTCCCACACTGTCCAGAAAGCAGAAATGCACCGTTACTGCACCAATGGAGAACAAAACACTGAATCCGAGTGTCAATGAGAGCATACTCTCGCCATCACCAACATATGTATCCAGAGCCCTTCTTCCTATTTGGCGCTCAGCGCCCAGGCTACCATCACGCAGCGACTTCCTGCCTACGATTTGACAATGCCACTGTTGACTTCAGCAGCGGAACCGGAGTACGTGAAGATGTCGGCCCATGCAGACTATCACCAAGACCAGGTCAGTGCCTGCACATCCTCATCCTCATCTCTCTCTCTCTCATTCTTCCTTGTCTCTCACCCTCGTCTTCTTCCCCGTGCACGAAGGCCACCACTACACCTTGATGTATAACCAAGGCCCTCAGCAGCGCCCTGCACACACGATCGCACGTGCATGAACACCTTGCCTTAGCGCAGCCTACGGCACGCGGACGCAGGCCAAAGCAGCGCTGCCGCGCTACTGGCAAGTGCCCGAATGAATGACCAGGCAGTGAGCACTTTCCTATATGGAAAGTGCCTGGCCTGGTCTGCGGCCTGGCTGGGCTTGGCCTGTGCCCAGAAGCTTGTGGTAGGCCCTGCTGCCCTGCGCCCCGTGCGGTTACAGTCCCCATCTGCCTGCCGTGCCTCCTCCTTTGTGTGCGGCGCAGGGCCTGCTTCCAAGAAAGGCCTAGAAGGCTGAAACAAAGTGCTGCTGGCCGTGGCCTGCGTTCCCTCAACCAACTGACGTGGTGCAACTGTCTGAGCCCCAAATGCGAAATTGACAACAATGGACCTCTCGTAATTTTATCAGGCCCGCCTTCACTTACGGCGGGCACATATTGCAAATAGGTCCCCTCAGGCCTGCCGAGGAGCCAAATCCTCACATTCTCTCCTCCTTAACTTCGAAAGTCCCCTGAGAAGTTCTTTAATTTGCAGGCATCTTCCCCTTGAGTCTTCTTTCGTATCCTGCAATCACTTGGGGTGCTGTCTGCAGTTCCTCTCTGGTGAACCACCGATCTTCACTTGGATCAGTATGATGTCGGAATCGCACTCGGCACTGCATCCGAGCCTTTGGAGGTCGTCACCTACCCGGAGGTTTCGGCACAGTCATGATTCTGTGTTCCACAATGTCGTCAATGTCAACTTCTCCGTCCATTTTTGTGTTGATTCAGCGAAAGGTGCTTAGCTTTGACCCGTGAAAGACTGGGTTTGTGCGTAAGTGAGCAGGGATGTAAATCGCATAGGAGGGTGCATCTATCTGGTCCCGGACTATATCTAGGACCTCCCATGGATCGAAATACTGAGGCATTAGTTTTCGTGAACCCGACTCCTGACCGAGTTCAGATGACTTGACCTAAACCCTGTCACCTACCTGGAATGTAGAAGGCCACACATGTTTGTTCTCAGATGCAATCATAGCATCGTGTGACTTCCTTATATGCTCAATGGCCTGCTGCAGTAGCTGTTCATATTTAATTGCAAACTCTATACTTTCTGGCGCTGCAGTCGGCTGATTCTCAGGCAGTAGGAAATCCAGAGCAGATCTGGGTTTCCAACCATGGTGCAGTTGATTGGGGATTAGTCCGGTAGTACTATGGACAGCATTGTTATAGAGGCTGGTGACAAGAGGTAGCCTCTCATCCCAATCATCTTGACTAGGTTTGATAATCTGCCGTAGTAAATGCTGTACTAATTGGTTCATCTGTTCGGCTTGCCCGTTTGACTCAGGGCGATTCCCTGATGTCATCTGCAGTTGGGTGCCCATCTGCTGGGCTGTACTCTGCCACAGTTCACTGGTGAAGCGGACGTCTCTGTCACTAATAGTGGACTTCGGCAAACCAAAGTCTCGTACCCAGTTATCCATAAACAGTTTGATGACATAGTCAGTCTTTGCTATTTTTGACATGGCGATCAGTCTGGCAAACTTGGTGAATCGGTCCACTATGATGAAGATGTGTCTTTTACCGCTTTTGCTGGTCACCAGCTTATCCATGAAATCCATGGACACACTTTGATCGGGACCGTCAGGAATAGGCAAGGGCTTGATGAGCCCAAGCGGAGCCTGGGTCCTAGGCTTGTCCCTCTGACAAACCTGGCAAGTTTCAACGTACTTTTTAGCATCTTTTAACATAGAGGGCCACCAGAACTTCTGCACTACGTTTGCTGAGGTCTTTTTGTAACCAAATGACCAGCTGTGTCGTGACACTCTCCTAAAAATAAACTACGTAAAGACTCCCTATATGGTACACACAGTCTTTTATTCCCAGCCTTCTCAAGGGACAGCAAGCCGTCAACCAACTCAAACTCATTGGAAGTAGCCTTATCTTTAGCCTCCAGTTTGCGAATGATCTCAGACAAGACTGCACCCTCTCGATAGGCTTCCACCATCGATCGAGTCAGATATTCCAAAAACTCAGTCACTACCGCGCCCAGATAGTCTGCCCTTCGCGATAGTCCGTCAGCCACTTTGTTGTACTCTCCCTTTACAGGGTCAAGCTTGAAGTCATACATGTCTATGACTTCAATCCACCTCTTCAGGGCATCAGACAGTACAGGCTGTGTCTTGATTCAACGCAGCGTCTAATGGTCAGATCTCATGTAAAAGAATCTGCCGAGGAGGTAGGGCCTCCAATGAACCAGCACTTTATAAAGGGCATAGAGCTCTCGCTCGTACGTGGACATAGCTAATTTTTCGAAATGGCATCTTTTGCTCATGTACTCGATTGGCCTTAACTTTTTCCCCTCCTTCTGCGTAAGGACCGCGCCTATGCCATATTGGCTGGTTTACCGCGCCTATGCCATATTGGCTGGTTTCTGTGGTCACAACAAATGGCTGTTGAGGATGCGGAAGTTTGAGGACTTCGTAGTTTGTCAGGGCATACTTCAATCTCTAGGCTGCCACACACTCTTTGGTCCACTCCCAAGGGGTGTCAAGGCGGGTTAGGTTTGTTAGTGGGGAAGCTATAGTACTATAGTTCTTCACAAACGGACGATAGTAGCCCGTC